GATTGGGAGTGTATTGGCCCCGTACAGTTTGGCAGTTTGAAAGGATGTTCTACTGATCATTATCTTAGTTTTAAGCTTGATACCATCACAATGGTCTTGATAAATCTGGACAGTTTGTTAATTTTTGTTCAATCGACATTAGCAAGGCTTTCGATCGTGTGAATCACACTGTTTTTATCGATAAGCTTATTCACCTTGGTGTTGATCGATTAATTTTACCTGTATTTTGTAGGTTTTTTTACAAATCGACCACAAACTGTTCGTTACTGTGGAGCTTCATCGAGTAAAGTTTGTCTTACTTGTGGTATACCACACGGTGCTAAGCTAGGTCCTATTATTTTTCCGTCATTTGGTAATGATGTTGCATGTACTTTAGACAACTGTTGGAAATATGCGGATGACCTTACAATTCTTGAGATCATTTCATGGAGAGGGCAATCCAGGTTGCAGACCCGTATTGACTCTCATGGTGATTGGTGTCTAATTAACAATATGAAACCCAGTCCTAGTAAGTGTAAATCAATGCAGAATTCCTTTCTTTGTCAGTCACCCCCTGCTCCAAGTTACCCATTGATGGAAGTCAATTTCAGATTGTCCCGTCGATGAAACTCCTTGGTGTTACAATCAAAACGACCTCAGATGGGTTCAGCAGGTGCAGTGTATCATCACGAATGCCTCTAGACGGCTTTTTATCTTGAGTAGACTTTAGGAAAATTGGAGTCGCTGTTCAGGATTTGGTTTCCATTTATAAAATGTATATTCTCCCTATCCTAGCGATAGAGGCAGTTGTCTGGTCATCTGGTAATTCCAAGGCTCAGTCTCTTATAGTATTGAACGTGTGCAGAAACGAGCACTCCGCCTAATAGCTCATCCTATTCTGTTGCCCAATGCTGATCTTCTGAATAATTATACAGTCCCGATTCTTGCAGCTGTAGACGCAATCTACTCATTATGGATTAGGGAAGTCTTTATTAGAATCGGGAAGACACTGTTCGTTTCTGCCCCCAACTCGTCAAAATATTTCTGGTCGCCATGTAGAGCCGCTGTCGTTCTTTCATACTTCGGAAAGATCCCTCCTTGGAACCGTTGCTCCCTGCTGGTACCCTTGGACACTCTTACAAGCAAATAACAACAGCAAAAACAAAAGCAATAACCTTATCCACAAACATTACAGCAGCAGCAACAACACCACAAACAACAACAACAGCAACAAACAACAACCACAACAACAGCAACACTAACCACCACAGCAATAAAATCAGCAGTGCTTAGATGATTTTTACCAGGGCGTTTGAATATTGGCTCTCGGTTACATGCCAATTGTCGCAAGGCCGTTAAAAACACTTCACATCACAAGTACTTTACTGTGAGCTACACAATCTTTTGTAACTAAAATATTGAACTATACTTAAATGTTTAACTTAACGAATTTGGTCCCTTTTCAAGATTTGTGTTCATAATGAAAATAATATCCTCATGGAAGTCTTGGGTTCCACGTGAGTTTTATCTACCCCAATGCGTGTACACGAGAAATAATTAAATGTGCGTACATGAAGGTATTAGATGAAGTAAATAAGGGTGCTCCTCGGGTGGTCCCATGCTGGTTCACGGACGATCGACCACAGACAAGCGCAACACAGTGAAGCCACGGTGGGAGAGCTCCTGATTATAAAATAGGGCCAGTGATGCGCGATGCGTACCTCCCCCGCAGTGTTTACTTACCTTGCTGCATGGTTACCTTCATAACTATCTCATGAAATATTGAATCTGCTGGCATTACCGATGCCCAAGTCGGTCATGTCCCGCACAGTAGCGTAAACTAAGACAAAGTCGGTGATTTAGGAGCTCCTACGTTATATTATTATAATATCGCATTGTAATGGAGGTTGGTGGTAAAAGAATTTGTGTATACTAAGGGCCTTTCGAAACAAGTGGATTAGGCTTCGTCTTTGGCTTCGCTGGTACCACTCAGATCCTCTGCATGCAGTTTCGAATGCTACCTCAAAATCCTGGAACCAGCGAAGCCAAAGACTATTCCACTCGTTTCGAAAAGGCTCTAAATCACCAACTTCTACGATGATGCTGGAGACTTTGTACTGTGGTACAACGAGTCACTTCAGGTGGCATGCCTTTCACGCAGGCCTTCTTTGGACCACAGTGAATTCAACTTAACAGACTTTGTGAGGGGATGTGTGCAAGTAAATGAATGCCCCCGTGATCTGGAGGAGGGGGCTAACCAAGGGTTGGAAGAGGGAGGAGGAGTACATCAACTACAGTTACCATGACAACAAATAAAGAGAACAGTCACAACACCAACAAACCCGTCATTTGTCTGCCTCATCACCACAGCAAATAATAACAAGCTTTATTTCGCAGCGTTAATGGATTTACCCACATCTCACGAGGCGCTGCTGTTTCGGTTTCGAGATTTTTTTTTTCATCCATAGCTTTCAATGGAGCCGATCAACCGTAGTTTGGTAAACTTCATGTGGTGGTTAATTTACCTTTTCCCCTAGGGTCTTTGAAGCTTCATTTTGAAATTAAGGATTGGAAAGTTATGCGACAGTTCTATTTGGAGAGTGGAATAAAAAATACCAAGCTGCGGATACATAATGCTGCCATTCAAGTTCACGGGGACGTTAATTAGCCTCTTGCTGGAATGACAACGTAGACGGCGCACCAGTGCGCTTTACAACAATAAACCTGAGCTGCCTTGATGAACCAGCAGACAATTACACCGGTACTGGCAAATTCATTGTATTATAAAAGTAATTGGTAACTTGTACCAATCCTAAATTCTAGTCTCTTTATGTTGACAACATAAACGCTGAATAGCATTTGTCGCCTAGGCAATGGTGTCACCCCCACAAGCATCCACCAGGCCTGGTGCACATGCCGTGTTAGCATGATTATGTTTCTCTCTGTAAGCCGTTCAGTTTTTTGATGCTGCAGCAAAATGCTTTTTATTTGCACTTAATCACAGTGCTGTTTGTTTCGTGTTTCGTTTCCTTGGTCCCCCCTTTTAAGGTTGGTTATGTGATTTGCGCGAGACGATGAGTTAATATTGGGTAGCCATTGAGGGTCATGTCGATGCGATAAGGCTACCTCTGAATTGTGTGGCGACGGCCTGCAATAGTGCTGGCATGCACGAAAGCCACTTGCTATTGCAATCAGTTGCTCTAGTTCCCGCTCTCGGGTTGGCGATGTCCGAGGGGTGTGGCTTCACTGTAATCTTGTCGCTCTCGCAGGTTCAAGTACGATCCCCAAACCTTGCAAAATTTGCAGTGCGCAATATATTCTCCATGTTACAGAATGCATGGTTGAGAGAATGGCTATGAACGGAATGGGCATGCTCTTGTCTCTTGTTTTTAATCTGGAATAAAGCCTGCGAAATCCCTGGATCATAAAAAAGTCAAAGGCCTGGCTCCTAAATGGATGAGTCCAAATATTTTCAGTAATTGTCATTAACTTGCAACTTTGGAGAAGTTACATTTTGAGCAATGACTCGAGACCGTCAGCTCCACTTCACAAACGGGCCACAGGGGTACACATTTCCATTTTCCGGCCACCGCTGATTCCAACATATGATAGGTATTGCAAAGTATGCACCCACGTTAACCTACTAGAATTACCTTAAAAAAGACTTAAACAAAAAGCAGTGGTCTAAAAGCGTCATTCGTATAATTTATGCAAGTTCAACTTATTTCTGTTCAGGGACGATGGAACGTGCTTTGCCGGCTATGAGGCTATATGTTGCATGCCAATGCCCATCCCTGATATAACATGATATATAGATTGTCAGGCAGACGGTTTAGTTTCCACAGCAAGCTTTTATATAGTGATACTTGACAACCAATTTCTATGGAACTGTCTTTGAAATGGAAGTTACATTTGGCAAAAATAAAAGCGTAATAAGAGTAAACAGTGGCGTCACTCACGGCAACACCAGTGGCGCCAAACGGCGCATACATGGGCTTGCCAAGACCGGCCGGCGGAATATGCAAAAGTGCTTTATCTCAGGCAGCCCGATTGGGCGTGAACGACCGAGAGAGGTGGCTATTGAACTTGGGTGGCGGTTGCTACTGTCGCTCAGTTGTAGCAACGGCGTCATATGCGACGGAGCAGCCGATGACGTTTAAGTAAGTACCGACGCATATGTACAGATCAATAGTTTGAAATGTTTGTCGTTTTTTTAAATAATTAAATGAACAGCCAATAAAACCCCTGGAAATAACTTTGGAAATAACCATCACCAGGAAGAACTTTTCCGCGATTGGTCGGACCCATGTCCTCAGTTACCCGGGTTGTAACCGGTAATCAATCTGATCTTAGGGTTAACTTTTCAGAAGAAAGCAGATTTTAACTGACGACGCGGTGTCGCTGTGATACATTTTCTCTCAAACTGAAAGTTTCAAGCTCTTATGTTAAGTAAGATTCGTTTGTTCTTTGGACGATGCAACTTTGACCATTAGCTCCCCTTCGTCCGGTTGGAATCTGGAAGGATCCGTTCAGTTGGACGAACTATAGTTTTTAATCACAATAACGCTGACTTGCACGGACAATGCAAGTAGAGCACAGGGCGAATTTGTACGTGGCGCCCCAAAGTTTAGGCGTTCTGCAAATATAACACATCCCTTTCGCAATTTCTCTAAATGTTGATGCAGGTTCTTTTACTAGGAATCAAGAAACCTCGTACCCCAGCAGAAACATGAATACTCTTGTTACGTTCACAATTCTTCTCAGCTGCTTCGGTAAGTGCCCCCACCATCAACCCAAGATAACCACAAACAAACTACAGACGGCAAAAGACCAGAAAAGCAATCGTCAATGGGGCTAAAAAGTAATACTTCTAAAAACAAAAACAAAAACAAAAGATCATAGACTACTTGAATTAACTCTACCCGTCAACCTCATTGTCTTGTCCATCAAACAGTTTGGAGGAGAAAATTGGAGTTAATTTATTCCTCCCCTGCTGATTGATTCGATCAGGGGCAAGGGAAGCGTATTGTTATGAATTAGTTACATTTTGTAGATTGTTCATATGTAAATATGCACCACGGTTACCCTTAACCTAATTACGGCGATTCGTGATACAGCACGCCACCAGAGGTTATAACGGTGAGACCATTTTCGACTTGTTTCCGTTTCCATTTGAGTGACAGTAGACAATTCGAAGAAATGTGACATTGATCAGGGCATTCCATGCTTCATAAAACCCAATACCCCACCTTTAATTAATTACAAAAGCAGCGGAACGATTCAAGTTCCCTCCGCACAGGGCAACGTCCACGCAAAGATTGGTTGGCGACCATTTTCCCACAATGCACTGCGAAAAGGCCTCTCCGGTCGAGTTCGGGCGGCCTGTTCTTGACACGGGTTTCTTGTTCATGCGCTCGAACGGCGGGAACACGAC